ATATTCAAGGAATGTAGCCTCTCCCTTGGTGTCGGGGTGGGGACTTCAATTCTGTTAGGTCCCCGTCAGAGAGGTCTACTCGGGGAATGAGGTCCTTAGATATGGATCAGTTTTCTGACTTCATTGATGAGCATCTTCTCATTGATCTACCAATGGAAGGCGCAGCCTTTACTTGGTCTAGTGGCAGGGATCCAGTTACTCTCTCAAGACTGGACATTTTTCTGATCTCTGGGGAGTGGGAAGAAAAATTCCAGGATGTTGTTCAGGCGGTCTTAGCAAGGGTTGTTGTTTCTGATCATGTTCCTCTGGTCTTGGATTGTGGGGGGAGATCGGAAGATTTCCAAGGGAAAGTTCGATCTTGGTGTGAAGGAGCGATGGTTACAGGAGCACCCAGTTTCATATTAACACAGAAGTTAAGCGCTCTCAAATTCAATCTGAAGCAGTGAAATAAGGATGTTTTTGGGAATCTTGAATGGAGAAAGAACAGAATCCTTGCTGAATTTTCTGAGATTGATTGTCTTGAGGAGGCGGGTGGAGATATGGAGTCTCTTTGCACTAGGAGAACTTCCTGTCAGGCAGCTCTAGCAGAGATTGCTAGTATGGAAGAGATTTCATGGCGTCAAAAATCTTGGGCTCTTTGGTTGAAAGAGGGAGATCGTAACACAAAATTTTTTCATCGATCAGCTAATGCTCATAGAAGGAGTAATCACATTGGACGCATTCAGGTGGAAGGTGTGGAGCTGTGGAGGGAGGAAGAAGTGCATAATGGGATAGTTTCTTTTTATCAGAAGTTTTACACACAACCTTTAGGTTGAAGACCCAAACTTGATGGACTCCCTTTTGAGGCTATTTCTGAGTTGGAGAGAGATGGGTTAGAGCTTATTTTCACTGAAGATTTAGTTTTAAAAGCCTTGTCAAGTTGTAATGGGGATAAAGCTCCGGGGCCTGATGAGTTTACTATGCGTTTTTTGATGGAAAGCTGGTCGGTTGTGAAAGGCGAGGTGATGGGTACCTTTCAAGAGTTTCATTCTTCTGGTGTCTTTGAGAAGTCGCTAAATGCGTCATTTATCGCCCTCATCCCTAAGAAGGGAAGCGCTTCTTACATTAAGGATTTTCGTCCTATTGGTTTGGTGGGTTGTATTTACAAACTTATTGCTAAGGTACTTGCTCAAAGGATGAAAGAAGTTATGGATGGGATTATCTCAGACTCCCAGAATGCTTTTGTTGGAGGTCGGCAAATTCTTGATTCAGTTCTTATTGCAGGCGAATGTGTGGATTCAAGATTGCGCAGTGATGTTCCTGGAGCTCTATGCAAACTTGATATTGAGAAAGCTTATGATCATGTTAACTGGAATTTTCTCCTCTATTTGCTACAAAGAATGGGGTTTGGAAGCAAGTGAAGGAAATGGATTGAGACATGTCTTTCGTCTGTCAAGTTTTCAATTCTTGTGAATGGTTGTTGGTTTTTTTGGGTGTTCTCTGGGAATAAGACAAGGTGATCCATTGTCATCTTTCCTCTTTCTTATTGTCATGGAGGGCCTTAGCAGACTTATGCGCAAGGCAGAGAATCTTTGGCTCATTAAGGGATTCAGAGAGGGAAGAGATATTGACCATCAGGTGGAGATTTCTCATTTGCTAGTTGCAAATGACACTTTGGTTTTCTGTGATGCAAATGTGTCTCAACTTAGATATTTGAGATGCATTGTGGCATGTTTTCAGGCGGTTTCCGGGCTAAAGGTTAACGTGGCTAAGAGTGAGCTTGTCTCAGTTGGGAATATTCAGGATATCTCTTCTTTGGCTGCAGTACTTGGTTGCAAGGTTAGTTCCTTTCCTATTCCTTATTTGGGTTTGCCTTTAGGGGTCTCCTCAAGGTTAGTGGAGAGTTGGAACTCTGTGCTCGACAGGTATGCTAAGAGGTTAGCAAGATGGAAAAAGCAATATTTGTCAAAGGGGGGCAAAGTAACTCTTATTAAGAGCACTTTATCTAGTCTTCCCATATATTTTCTTTCTATGTTCCAAATTCCATGCTCCGTTGCTGAAAGGATTGAAAAAATTCAAAGGGATTTTCTTTGGAGCGGAAGGGGAGAAGAGTTCAAGTTTCACCTTGTCAGATGGGAGTGAGTTTGCAAGCCTATGAAGTTGGGTGGTCTTGGTATTAGACGATTGATTCCTTTTAATCAAGCTCTGTTAGGAAAATGGTTGTGGAGGTTCGGGAAGGAAAGGCAGCGTCCTTGGCGAAGGTTAGTTTCGTGTCGGTATGGGGAAGACGTTGGCAGTTGGACTACACGCCCGGTTTCTATTACGGGAGGAGTTGGCGCTTGGAAATCCATTCGGAAGGGATGGGATACTTTTTCTCCTCATATTAGATTCAAAGTTCATGATGGTAGATGTGTCCATTTTGGGGAAGATCTTTGGTGTGGGGATCAGCCATTATCTCGCACATTTCCCAGATTATACAGTATTGCAGTTGACAAACATGCTTACGTGGTTGACTGTTATTGCCTTGATAATAGTAGAATTACGTGGAATGTGCACTTTAGGCGGTCATTGCAGGACTGGGAGTTGAACAAGGTGAGTATTTTTCTGGACCAATTGTATCGGCAGGAAGGAATTGGTAGGGGGCATGACAATTTGATATGGATTCCCTCTTCTCACGGTCGTTGTGAGTAAGATCTCTGTACTTATGTCTGTTTAATTTTGTTAGCTTTGTCTTCCCTTGGAAAACTATATGGCGCTCTTCGGCACCTCCTATGGTGGCATTCTTTGTGTGGACAGCTGTGTGGGGTCAGATTCTGACGATTGATAATTTGAGGAAAATAGGAAATTGTATTGTTAATTGGTGTTGCCTTTGTAAGCAAGATGGGGAATTTGTTAATCATCTTCTAATGCATTGCCCTGTGGCGTACGATTGTTGGAATCTTATTCTTGGACTGTTTGGCATGTGTTGGGTAATGCCATGTTCTACTAAGGATTTAATTTATGCCTGGAGAGGATGTTGTGTGAGTAGAGGTGTGCGCGATTACTGGAGAAATGTCCCACATTGCGTATGGTGGAGCATTTGGAAGGAGAGAAATAGTAGATTGTTTGAAGGGAAAGAGTCGTCTACGGCAACACTAAAAGTTGTTATTATTCGCTCTCTCTTTAGTTATGTGAAGAGGAGTTCTTGCTCTTCTTCTGATGCTTTAATTACTTTTCTGGATTCTTTGGGGCCTTAGTCCCCGATTATTGTTTTAGGGACGCGTTCCCTTTTTGAACGCTTTTTTAATTTATTATTACTTATCCAAAAAAAAAATATATTACTTGTTTAATACATGCATCACACTTTCAGACTAAAATTAATAAAATAAAAAAACAAATTGAGAAAAGATTACGGAAAAAAGTTTGTCTAGCATTACCACAGTTTCAGTATTTTATTCTTCCTCACAATAGTCATTTTCTCTGTATAATATGGATGTGTAGATCATTGACCCAGTTATTTGAACTGCTTATGCAAGAACAAATTTATGCTGGTAAATGACAACTTCAAATTTGAGCACACTGCTCATGAACTTAAACTTCTTGTCAATTAAATGCAACAAGCAGACAATGCCCACTTCCTGTTGTGAGTTTCAGCCACATATGCATTGTTTGTATGTGTTGTGTGTGTGTGTGTGTTGCAAGAGAGACAGGGTGATAGTAAATGGTGCATCTGAATGTCAGAACAAAGTTTGGTCAGGCAATAAAAGGTGAATAGGAAGAATGCAAATTACTAGATGCTTCGCGATGTGTATTAATAACTCCTTTTTTTCCCCTTCAAAACTTCAACTTTCTGCTTCTATAGTTCTATTCAGCAGAATTTCTATTGATTACTGCCCCTCCTTGTTCCAAAAGCTTAATGCTTTGAGTACCACCTCTAAGATGCTCATGTTTCCTTTTTTTCCCCTTTCATTTTTTTTCATTTTTTTAATTGAGTAACAATATCATGCTTCTTTTACATGAATAGAAGATGTCATTGCTCCACTTACTGCTATCTGTTATCGAGAAAATTAATCAAAAGTGACATAAATATGATAGTTTTATCCAAGGGAGCAGCAGAACTACATTGTAATTCCAATATAGCATATAGAAGGAGTCTTTTTTGTCAACTTATTAGAAGAAATGACACAAAATATATATCAAATGTATGGCTTTTGGTACCACTAGAACAATAGTCCATCTGGTATAACCTCTCCTTCAAAGGGAAGGTCAGTGGTTCGAGCCCCATAGTAGGCATTCATGGGTATATTTACCTAACCAATAAATAAAAAGTGTATGGCTTTTGTTGCCATTATTTTCACAAGAAATAGAAGCAACTTTAAAAGGCAAAAGAAAATATATAAAATAAAACAAGATAGCCTAAAAAGACAAAAGTGGAGGGAGAAAAAGAAACAGAATACAAAGCCCACAACAAGAACCACTAAGTGAACATGAATTTTCAAGTAGTCAAAGCTCTTCTTTTGGCAAAAGACAAGTTCCTGAATTTGAAGTATTTTAGCAGCTGACAAAAAGTGACAACCTCGAGTATACAACAAAGTTCATAACAGTACACATTTTATCATATGAATCAATCCATAAAAGTGACAAGAAGCAACAACAGGAACTCCACAATTAAAGGAATATATAATAAAGCCTAATAAAAGAAATCTGCAGACATAAGAAGAGGTTGAAGTACACGATCAAATAGTAGGTGCAACAAGTTGATAAAATCCAAGGAGACAATCAAGTATTTTATCACATGTAATAGGTGAACAGCTACCTTGTGTTCTCTCAGTACATGGCTGAACAAGTGTTTTCTTACTCTCAAATCAGTATCTACCACTGGACAATTACTTAAATAATTATAGTGACAAAATAATTATATTATGGCTGCTATGTGTTATCTAGAATTGAACAAAATCAAGCGAACAAAAGAAAAGAAAATTATTGACACAAATTACTAGTATCTAGTAGTGCTTTTAACAGCTGTAAGAACAGTTACCAACCTTTCTTTTTCAACGTTTCCTTCTAATTGTTCATTCGGCTGGGGCTGGAGCTTTAAATTCAATTTTGGACGCTCTACGGCCCGATTCCCACTGTCAGATCCAGCTACTACAGGTTTCATAAGATTTGCATTTCCATGTAATTCATTAGCATCTTCCACATGATCTGAATCAGTTGGCTGCGGGCACCCCTACATTAAAGAAACAATGGGATCGAATGCCTTCCACATAAAATTATGAAAGGGCATCATACAGTAAAAATACTGATATGGTTTACCTGCTTAAAACCAATAGGTTGATCCAAACCCTCCAAAGGCTTAGATCTTGGAAGTAATTTTAATTTAGGACGTTCAGATGGTTCTGAAGGCGTTGGTGATTTCACCTCCAATCCACCAGATTTGCCGTTGCTAAGAGCCGGAAGCCCTTCAGCATACATTGTCGGTTTCCTCTCTTTTGCTTCTGGATACAAAGGAGACGTGGCCCTCTCATGGGCCAGCAACTCCCTGCTGCTGCCACGAATGCCATCATCAACAATCAAACTCCTTTCGGCATCTCTTGCCAATGCCATGTCATGATATTCCATACCACCCGCAGGATGCATCACATTGTGAGTATTCTTATTAAAAATATTGTTACCGTTGGATCGATATTCACTCTCTGATTCCGGATGTCTAATGACCTCGATATCTGTCTGATGATGGATTGTTTGCTTGGACATCCATCTACCAGAAGAGACCTTCTCAAGGGCACTGGCATTAGCAAACTTAAGGGCAGCATTTGGTGCGGACTGTACAGCAGGCACTGGCTCCATGATATCCACTGCCTCCTTCCTCACTGCCCAAGCATTTGGAGAAGAACCAGCAGCAACATTCCGCCCACCATTCCCTCCCACATGTCGGGCTTCAGTAAATCTCGCGGAGTAAGAACTGCTGCTACCCAAACTCTCTGAATTAACTGTCACATGACCCGCCGCAGCAAATTTTGCAGCATAAGAACTAGCAGTACCACCAGACAACTCAGACACCGAAGCTGAAACATGTCGACTAGGTAACTTCCCAGTAGACGAATATTCAGGCTTTGGCTCAGAACTAATTTGCATGGAACGGGTGCTCTCGTCACTGATAGTTCGGCGCGGAGCCGAGACACCATCCAAGGGCTTCCGTTCATCCTCATCGAAATTCCGGCCAATTTGTGCACTATGATTGAAAAATGGAGTCTTGTCGTCAAAATTCCTCACAGACCCAGCTGAACCGGGCCTTAATCGATTATCTAATCTCCCGATAGGTTGTCCCCAGGGTGACTGGCGATCGAAACCGCGACTCGAAGGCCTCACAGTTCTGTCAGAAATACGAAAAATTAACTAGGTTTTCTACTTGCAGATCTAGTATTTTGAACTATATGAAACAAAAAATTATATATAAACGTTACATACACAACAAACTGTGATTTACAGAAATATATATATATATTCCCAGATCTAGGTATCTTTACATCAAATAAGAATATTAGGTGAATCTATAGAAATAAAAAGAAAGAGAAAGAGAAAGAGAAAGAGAAAGAGGAACGTACACGCCAGGAGCAGAAGGGAGAGGAAGATCGGAAGGAATGGAACCGCCATGGAAGTCTTTCAGTGTCATCGTAGTCGAGCCTCCCGAAGCTTTCTTCTTCGACATTCTCTCTCTCTCGCTTCTCTTCCCCTCCCCCCAACCCTCTCTCTCTCTTTCTCTCTCTTAAATCTTTCTCTCTCTTAAAAGATCCCTATATCCTCTCTAACCCTCTCTCTCTCTCTCTCTCTGTCTCTCTCTATAAATCTCGAACAGGGTCGGGAGGACACAGAATTGAGAGAGGAGGTTCGCGTTCTACCCACGGGTGCCACACTTCCACTAGGGTACACTTCTACAAAGAAAGGTAAGCAACGATACGGCATCGTTCTAACGAATCACAGTATTCAAAAGTAGTACGTAATACACGATACCAACACGGATATGTTTAAATTCCATAAAAAAAAATCATGAAGGTGTAATAAATATTCCAAAAAAAAAAAAACATATTAAGAATGTGAGAAACAGACAATAAACTATAATTCAAATAATTTTTTATTCCAAAAAAAACAAACATATTAAGAATGTGAGAAACAGACAATAAACTATAATTCAAATAATTTTTTATTCCAAAAAAAACAAACATATTAAGAATGTGAGAAACAGACAATAAACTATAATTCAAATAATTTTTTATAAAAAATTATTTTTACTCATCTTATCCTCGTTATTATAAATATAAAATAATTGGAAACTTAGAAGTTAGAACTGAACAACTGCTGTTTTTCAGTCTTGAATTTTTTTCCTAATTTTTTCAAGTTGGAATGTTTTTCAACAATGACATTCATTTGTAATTCAAACAAAACCTAAAAACATGTAAAAAGTTTTTTTTTTTTTTTTTTTCTAGTTGGGTACTCACACACACTCGAACCACTGACATCTCTTTGAAAAGTAGGGACTTGGTACCGCTAGGCCACTGGCCTATTGGTAAACATGTAAAAAGTTTAATTCACCCATCATTATTTGATTAATTTTAATTATAAGATATCAAAATAATTAGAGGACCGAATTACCCTTTTCCTCTATATATATATAGAGAGCCCCTTTTAGAATGATGAAAGCGCTTTTAGTAGTAGAGTTGTCCGTAAAACGCATTTATGCGTTTAGTGACATATGGTATAAATCACTTTTTATACTTGAATCACTCTTAAATTTGTGTAGTAATAATGTTGCTTAAAGCAATTTTATTACTAATTTTACTATATTACCCCTACACTAATAAACATGAGTTCAATAATTTATGAATTTTTTTTTTTTTAATATCACAAATTTTGTTTATCATATAGTATTTGTATTTAGTACTAAAATATATATAAGTTAAACATACTTTAATGATTATTAATTTGTATCTGATTTGGAATCTTCTACTAATATAATAAGTAAATTCGTTCATATACTATCTAATAATAAAATTTAATAATATAATGCTTTGTAGTATAGACAACATTTCATTAAATAAAACTATACACTTCAAATGTGGTGATGGTGGCATTGGTGAGATTAGAAGGCAGGCCAGCAGAGTCCCAACATGACTATGATATTAATTTGTTATTTGTTTGTATGAGGGACAAAATTGTATTTATAAAATAAAAAAATAAAAAGAAGAGGAATTGCATTGTCTAAAATAAATTAGTTACCTAAAAAAAATTAATCTCTACCCCTAACGCAGTTTTAAAAACTACAATTCCAAACTTTACTTAAACGTACTTTTTAGATGTAACCTCTACGACCTGGGGATGGCGACGGTGTTTGTCTGTTATGGGTGGCGGTGGTTGTTGAATATGGGGATGGTGGCGGTGGTTATCGACTATGGGGATAGCAATTGTTGACAGGTATAATGGCTGTTGTGGTTGTGTGGTTGGGGAATGGCGATGGCAAAGGCAACGATTGTAACCCATCCCGCCACCGAAAGACATCGACATGACTGCAACACCGTCTTCAACAGCCTCATCCACCGCCATCAGTTGTCAAACCCGAACCAGCCTACGACCCAGCATACCTTACAAATGGAAACCCTCGCGTGTGGCATCAAAGTACCCAACGGAAAACTTCAGTAACCCTCAGTTTCAGTTCCGGCAACCCTTCCTAGTTCTTTAATCTCCACCTCCATGCTATCTCCGATAACCCTTGCTTGTGATCGAACCCCAAAGATCCCTCAGAAATTATGTTCGCCCATTCATCGCCATTCACTCTTGCTCGTTAGAATCGTTGCGGGGCACTATTGCGGTCAATTCGTGCGTGCGGATTTGACCGACCTCCATTTTTTTGGTGGCAGCGGCGGCTCCCTCATCGTCGTGGCGGCAACGGTAGTGAATACACAATAGTGGGTGGTTTTGGGGATGGAGTGAGTCGTGACACCAACTATGCATTGAAGTATATTGAAATTTTTGTAAGAGGTCTAAACAAACTTGAATTCTTGATAAGGTTGTAAATGAACTAAATTTTCGACGAAGAACTTAAGCTCGGCTTGCTAAGAGCTTGATTCATGTTCATTTAATTAATGAACCAAACTCAAATATAATTCTTAGGCTTCTTTATTAAACGAGCACGTTAAGCTCAAACACCCGTCTATTCGGTCCGTTTGTTCATGAATACATTTATGAACAGACTCATTTAAATGCCTGTTTTGAGCTTAAAATATATACACATTCATATATATATATATAATTTGTTTAGTTAATGTAAGATTAGATTAACCCACCTAAAAAGATTGTCCACTTAACTATATAATCATCCTTCACATTTTTTATTCCAAGTCAACACATATAACCAGCACAACACATAGATAAATGCAAACCCTAAAGCAATATAACCTTATATTCTGTTTTATTCCCCACTTAGTTATTTGCAAAATATCCATCTAAGTTTTACCAACTACATCCCTCGATCTCTCGACAATCTCAAAGCCAAAGACGTTATGGTGATGGCTAGATGTCAACTTTGAAGAAGGGAATCAGTTTTCAAATTTTGGCCCATTTGAAATATGTATCTACTGGTTAGAGCTCAGCTCGAGTCGAGCTCAAACACCTTGCTGCAAGGTCGATACGAACCCAAATAGGCCTACTCGGCTAGGGTCATTTTAAATTATTTTTACTAATTGTGATTTTTTTTTAATTATTATTAATATGTGTAAATGAACCAATAAATATCCCATTATTCATTTGGCATACCACTCCGAATCATGTCACATTTTCTTTGAATTTTAAGAGGCCTGACCTTTCCAAAAACATTAGTTTGACTCATTTGTTTTCATATCTTATTAGTTTAGGCTATTATTTATTGCCTTTATTATAACTATTTGATATTTAATTACTTATGATTCTAAATGGCTTTGAATCACATTCATTGCCTGTGTTTTTTTTACTATTCTATAGAGCTTTTATAATATTTTTAAAAAAATAAACTCCAATTTTGATGACACACATGTGGTGTATAGTTTCTAGAATTTTTATATAACTTTTTAATCAAATAATGTTATAATTTGTGAATACAAATAGTTGGTAAGTTGGTAACCTTTGAAAATCCCAACATTTATAGTATTTTTGTAATGTTTAAGTTTATATATATATATATATATATGTGTGTGTATATTAAAGTGGGTGAGTTTCTTTTAGTGGAGGGGCCCACAATTTTTTCATTAAAAGTGGTCATAAGACCATGTTTTTTTTAGTCTCTATAATCTCACTCTCTTTCTTTCTCGCTGCCAGACTTGCTTCCTCTCGGCATCCTCTTCTTTTTTTTCTTTTTTCTTTTGCAAATTCAAAGCTTAATTTCTCCCTCATTTCTTGGCGGATTAAGGTGTTATTTGAGGTAAAACGAAGCCCACTACGAGTTCTACGCATCCATACGAACAATTTCAGATTTGGTGCCCTCCTTGGAGTTCGAAATTCAAGACCTATTTTAAGGGTTTTGTGCAAATTTGAGGTAGGGGCTCTTAATTTCCGTTTTTCTTGCTCCTATGTGAATTACATCTCCTAAATTGTTGTAAAGCATACTTGATTATCTTGAGGATGATGTAGATGTTATATAAGAAGTTGTGATTAAATGGGCTATGTGAATTGTATGTGAATGTGTTTATTTGGTTAATTTCTTGTCTAATAGTTGATATAGCATGTCTATATTGTTGTAAAATTTGTTAGAAATGATATGTGATGGCATATGTAATTTTTCCTCAATATTTGTAGAGTATGTTTAAATGTGAAATATAAAATCCCTTAATTCTATGGCATTGTGAAAGCAAGACATACATGCATACCATAGGTCATGATTAGGAAGATTGTTTTGAAATGAACAAGGGGGATTTTGGGAAAGTATTTGATGAAAAGTGTCTTATGAAAACCCGGTCGCCGCGGAGGTATCAAAGGGCCGGAGTGTTAATATAGCCTAGAGGGAATTAGGGAGTCACCCTAACGTGGTTGAGCTAGCTGGGCCCATAATGTGATACCCCTCGGATCCGAGACACGGGTTGATCAGGCCCAGGCCCGAGCCCGAGGGAATATCAAACAATTAAAGTATTTATAATGAACACAGAATACAAAATGAATTAAGAAATGAAATTAAAGCTGAAAAGAACTAAAAACAAAATCCGCAAAATATTATAATTATTAAAATCCATCAAACCCAAACTCCAAAACTCTATCAGTTTACAATTCGGGAATCCATCCATTGGACCCCTTATTTAAATTCTCCAAACGATACTGAAATAATAAAAACAAAATCCAAAGCTAACATAGAGAAAATTCCTACATAATCGGAGGAGTGAATAGCTGTATCTGCTTTGCACGTCCAAACTCTAACTCTGGAACTGACGAGCACCTGAAAAATAAAGAAGTGGGTCAGGCCCACATGCAAGTCCTGATCTACTACAATCCAAACAGTAATCCGATACGCAGATACATCCTAGGAAGACTCAACAATATCTAGAGTAGTCAATATATGTATATAGTACACATTATAAGACGCTCGCTAGTCCAGTAGGTTTGTCTCAGCCTGAATAGAAGGCAACATGCGAATACGCACCCTAGGGTGGGCATGAGTACCTAAACCTACCAGGGAACAACACCTATGTCCAGTTATCCATCCTAGGCGATATACGCACCATAACCATAGTCTTGAGACTCAAGCTCATACCATGGCACATATAATAAATATATAAAGTCCATACTCCTCCTAATACATAATACCATCCATCTGTGTGGTGGTCTGGTATATGTATATCCATCTGTCCTGAAACCATATTAAGTCATTCAACTATTTTGTTGACATGACACAAGTAGG